CACTATAGCAGTGGCTAATTGCTGCACATTGTGGTTCGGGGACATTACACTTATGCGTCTGAATAAAAAGGCCCAATAGCAAGTAAATGTGATGTGGTCCGTCCTCTAACCACTTTCCATGTTTGCATGTTAACAGGGTTGTGGCAGCTTCACCGTTTTCATGTGAACCACCAAAGGAAATACAAAGAAGGGATCATCTTGTAGAACGACAGAATGAAAGCGTTTATGTTTTTCTGCTAAAGCATGACATGAAACAAACAACGCATCTCTGTTCTCTTCTTTGTTGCCAGGATCTTGTTGAGGGCTGTCAAAGTTTCAAATATCAGCTAAAGATGCAATAAAATGAGTCTGAACATCAAGAAAACTAGAGAAGCCAATGCCTGGGCAAAAGATCTGAGGCGTGTTTTTTATGTTTTAATCAGCAGGTATTAGTTTGAAGAAGTCTCTAAATCTGAGACCATGGTGTTGAGTCAGAAAAGAGTAGAATGCCTTCTCTAAGTCAGGGATGAGGTCCTGCCCCAAGTGGAGGAGTTTAAGTATCTCAGGGTCTTGTTCACAAGTGAGGGAAAACTGGAGCGTGAGATCGATAGGTGGATTGGTGCTGCATCTGCAGTGATGCGAGTGTTGTACCGGTCTGTCGTGGTGAAGAGAGAGCTGGGGTTTCATTTATAAAACATTGTGTAGAATCCTTACAAAAACCGTACTTAAGCTCAGCAAAAATAATGCACTTACTCCAAGTAGGTTTGTGACCTATGAAACATGGAGTACGCACAGCTGCACGCGATCTCTGCTTTACAAATCACGCTCTAACCTAGAAATGTTCTCAGGTGTTTCTGGATCACATTCCTCCCTCAACACGCCTACTTTCTGCCACAAATGGTCAATGCAAAGTGCCTTGTGTATCTCATGCATATACATAAGCCGGCTTGTTGCAGCGCTCCACCATTAATGATGGCGACCGCAGATCAAGGAAGCGCTAGTTCACCGAAGCAGAAATTGAGGTACCTGTGAGTGAGGTGGAGAAATGACAGGAAGTGCTTTTGCAAAACAAATAAGAGAAAATCCACGGAGTGGCACAGCGTTGCTGAAGCCGTCAATGTTGTGAGTTCTTCAGAGAGATCTGTGGTCGATATTTAAAAAATGGTCCAATCAGGATCCGATCCCCAGACTCCCAAGTGAGAGTGACACACACTAACCAGTCAGCCAAAGGGACTTCTCCTGTGACCGAGTAGCCAGGGCGCATGATCAATCGGGTCACAGTGACGGGACACACGCTGTCACAGACGCATAACATTCTGTTTCAATCTGTCCCCCTGCTGATATTCAGCATTCCATATTCTGCCCCTCAGGCTGTGTGTGTGTGTGTGTGTGTGTGTGTGTGTGTGTGTGTGTGTGTGTGTGTGTGTGTGTGTGTGTGTGTGTGTGAGAGAGAGAGAGAGAGAGAGAGAGAGAGAGAGAGAGAGAGAGAGAGAGAGAGAGAGAGAGAGAGAGAGAAAACGAAGCGGTACAAGTGATAATGCTGCAGGATTCCATAACTGTATATCTTCTCAGCAGCAGCACTGCAGGTGCCCTCCATGTCCAACATGTGCGTGAGCCAGGTCCTTAGTCAACCTAAAGTTACACACATCCGCTAAGTTTTCTTTCATAAATACCAAAGTTTGCGTGGAAAGTTGCTCATGCAGTTTTTCGACCCTGTTTTGTGCGTAAGCTAGCTTGATGAATGAGGCCCCTGAGCCGGAAGGCAAAGCTCTCGATTTACCGGTCGATCTACGTTCCTACCCTCACCTTTGGCCACAAGCTTTGGGCAGAGCTGGATTAAATAAATGGACTACACTAGGCAGGCTGCATTTTTTGCCCCCCATCCCCACCCCCCGCCCCACCCCCCATTGATGTTATTTAATGAATTGAAATCTGAAACTTACCAAAGTTACTTATAAAAGTTCATTCACATTTTACATAGCCTAGTTTTTGGTTACAAATTGGTTGTTTGAATGCCAAAATAAGTCATGTGTTGTATGTAAATCATTCTATCAGACAATTTTTTGATACCAATAATTTATACGTCATTACACAGCTGTATTAAATTCTAATAAATTATCCTCATCTTATCCATTGGGAGTGTCATTGTCAAGGCGGTAGTACCAGTAAATAACCACTAGGTGTCATTATACTATGTAAACAGAGCAAATATGTTTATCTTATTTGCTGTTTATATTTAATCACTACATTTAATTAAAAAGATGTTCTGCTAAATACAATAGCTTACATTTATAAATGTTGACAAATTAATCACTTGATGGTGGAAAGACATTCAAGAAGAAATAGATTAATTTGAATGGACTGAAGCATGTTTTAAAGGCGCAAAAACAAACTATAAACACGCAGCCTAAATTATTACAGTATAAATTTTATACAATCTATAATCTTAAAAGAAAGTATTTTAATAAAATGAAAAAGTTATCTTAAGTTTTGATCTTGCTTTATGCTCATTCAGGCTGTTATTGCCTCTGCTGAATCAGAAATTCTGTGTCAATTTTCTGAGTGTGAACCAGGACCGGCTCTAGGTAATTTGGTGCCCAAGGCGAGACTGCCCATTTGCCCCCCCCACCCCCCCGCCCGCACGCCTCTCACCCAAACCCAAGTCCACCCACCCACCACACATTGGAAAAAGCAACTCCACATTTATTCCTTAGTTACAAATTTTTATTTTAAATATTCACACAGCAACTCTTTAAAGTCAACAGCCTAAAGAGTAAATGTAAGCTTGATAGATAAGTAACCTGAGAATATTACAATAACCAACAACTCAAAATGTTGTGCAAATGTCATTGGGGGGGGGGGGGGGGGGGGTGCAAAATCAACAGCAGCATTAAACTGTGCAATCAAAAGCAAAACTCAAATATCAGTGTCATCATAAAGAAAGTTCTACTTTCCATTTTGTTCAACTGCTGTGGCCAGTCAGCAGGATCCATGGGGCCAGCAGCTCATACATGTTCACACACATCTGTTGAAGCTGATGATGGTGTCTCTTCAGGCTGTTGGATTGGAGTACTGAGCCTGCTGGTGTTGGGTTCTTCTTCTGTGAGAAAATAAACACACACACACACACACACACACACACAAAGCAACTTAACCCTCCGATGCATGAATTAAGAACAGTGCCACTTTCACATTCAGTATTCCTCGATCATGTGCAGTGATGCTTTTCATTATTTTTAATGTTACTGGACTTTTTATTTTATTGATCTTTTTTTAATCTGTTCTATGAAAACATGAATAAAATTTATCAAAAACAGGTGGAAGTGAGAGCATCCACGGGGAATAGTTTAAAAAACGTATGTCTCACTCTCAGGTGCTCCGCTGTCTCTTCTTTTGTTCCTCTTCACTTATTTATTTATTTTTTTACGTTTTGCCGCACCCGAAAGCATCGTGAAAGTTAGCCTACTCAAAAACACCTGCTAGCTTTGTTGTGTCCCGCTCTGACTCTGACCACTTCTGACATCCCTAATTGGGTGGTGCCTTAAAGGCACAGTCCGCAGGATGACGCCATCAGGGTGAGGAGGAGGAGATTTTTAAATTCGAACGGCTGTTGCTCACTCCCCCGCCCTTCCTGAAAGAGCCGAAAGCCACGCCTCCCAATGTGCACGCGCAGGAAAAGCAGAGTCAACATCGGAGCATTGCTTCTTGTAATAGAGCTGAGCTAGTGTTAGCAATGGAGTTATCTGAGGTAAGAAAGTTGTATTTAACCAGCACATTAAACACTTACTGTTTACAAAAGGCATTTTATAAAGAATATCTATAAATATATTTATATTTTAAAATACCAGTAACAGTTGGCAATCTATATTGTAAATAAAATTAATCCTATCAAATTGTTAGCATTTTATTACAAGTAACTAGCTTATTTTTAATTGCTTTGCCATTCAAGATGGGATGAATATATCAAAGCATATAAATAATTTATGTGGAAATCATGAATAAACACTGCATTCTGTGAAGTCCTCCTATAATCATGGTTGTTTTCATAGGGTTTCTGTTTATTGTTGGTTTAGCCCAAATTTTGACTAGATGTAAACCTGATCTGTGTCAAAATTGATTAATATGCAAGAGTACTTTTTATATTAGTATATTTTTTTTATTCTAATACAATTTAGAGTTCAGTGATTGAGGAATCCTCTGAGGAAGAGGTTGAACCTCCTATTGCATCCTCAAGACATGGTGCAAAAAGGAGATGCCCACCATCATCTCAAAGCCGTGGTGCATCCAGAGGCCGTGGTGTGTCTAGAGGCTGCGGTGCATCCAGAGGCCGAAGAAGTGTGAGACACTCAACTGTGGACCTTGGAGATGAAGATCTCTCTCGAGTTCGGAATCTTTGTTCCGAGCGAATAGACTTTGAACGTGTAAGCATAACAAAATTACACTAAATTATCCTAAAAACTGTTGCTGTAGCATCTCTTTCCACTTTTGTAGCAAAACATACAGAACCTGAACCCTCAGCAGGCTATTGGCATCCTTACCATGGTGCTGGACAGACACTGGTGTTCTCTTTGATGTACTTGCCCTCTCTGGTCCACCTGCCACAACACCTCCAACACCCAATCAACCTTCATGGTGTGTATGCTCCCACTGCAGAGATATGCCAACTGATTTGGAAAAGAAATGCTGCCAACAGCCTCCCCAGACATGTATTTCAACTGTACCACACATGAAAGAGTTTATTCTGCAAAATTCCCTGACCCCAATGGTAACTACACTGGTTTTATTCCAAGACGATTGTAAATAAATGTATATATTTGATATTTTACATAAGTTTGTTTTTATACATTTTTGTTTGATGCTCTAATAAAGTGGTCTAAAGCACAACTCTGTGTTGCATTTGTAAAAATACCATAAATTTTAAAACTCCTGCACAACAACAAAAAATTATGTCTACCTCCAACATTTTACATACATTTTTAAATTATTAGTCCTTATTTCCCCAAAATATATCTTTATTTTCAAAAAAAAAAAAAAAAACACAGGAAACAAATATAAAGAAGGTTTTGGGTTTTCTCTTGCCTCCCCCAACACCTATGTCTGTGGCAAAGTTTTACCTGTAAATAAAAAATAAACTCAATTAGCAATGGACTATTGTGTGGAAGATGTAAGGCAGATAATGTTTTATTTTACCATCACCGCAAGTCCGTAGGTGTTGTAGAAGTTCCTCTGTTGATGGTGCAGGAACTCCGGACAGCAAACCATAATGCCTTGGATCCTCAGGCCTTAGCTTGTAGCGTCGAGGAAGACCTTTCTTGCTTGTCAAACGTCGGTCAGTTGCTTCTGGGATATTACAGTCATGAACTGTATCCTCTATGTTAATTTCTTGCAGAGTCTCAAGCTGTAATTAGGCCCGAGCAGCGAAAGCGCTGCGAAGGCCTCTTGTTTTTGCTCTGTTTATTCTTTTTTATTTATTATTCCGGTGCCGCTTTGAACGGCTTTTTGGGGACCTTATCATACCCCAAAACTCACAATATTTTGCACACTTGTCAGGCCTGGTGAAAAATTTGATATTTTAAAGGTCCCAATAAAATCGCAAAGAAAATGGCTGAACAGCGCCCCCTAGAAAGTGAAAAAAAAACCCTCTCCATAAAGCTTAGTTTATCTTACAGTTATGAAATTTGGTACACTTGTAGTACTCAACAGTCCGCACAGAAAAGTCTCTTACAAGCATGGTCAATATCAAACAGGAAGTCAGCCATTTTGGGTTGAAATGGCGATTTTTTGCCGTTTTTAGGGTCCGTTTCTGATTGGATTGCTCGATCATTTTTCGCACGATCGTCTCAAAAGTGGTGTAAAATTGCTCAGAAGGGTTGGGCGAACAAAATGAGACAATAAAATTGACTTTTCGTAAATACTGAATGGGTGGGGCCAGGCCTCGAAGTTTGACTACTCGCCAAAAAAATTTAAATTGCTATAACTTCATAAATGAATGGAATAGAGTTACCAAACTTTTTGTGGTCATTCGTCATCCACCCACAAAGTAAACTGAATGGTCGGATGATGACATCACACAAGCCCCGCCCCCTCAGGACCAAAAAGGTCAAGTTTTACTGTGAAAGGTCCCAAATTGCCCCATTTCACTTAATCACCACAAATTTGTAGCTGGTAACTCAAGACAAGTGGGGGTTGCTTGGCGTCACTTTATGGGAGTTTTCGGCAGAGGGCGGGGCTGTGGCGGCGCGGCGAAGTCAGGCGTACCGCCGTGGCCTTACGTTTGCCTCCCATTTCATTATTTCTAAAGATATCATCACGAAACTTCTTGTGAGTGATCCTAGTCTGGCCCCTCAAAAAATCTGATGTCAACATCCGGTGGGCGTGGCCTATTTTCTGAAATAGCGCCCCCTAGGACCATTAAAACTGTCAGCCCCAAGCCATGCTTTGACTGAGGATTACGAAATTTGGTACACTAATGTGGTGTCTCAGGACCTACAAAAATGTCTCTTGGAGCCAAGTGCAAAGTCGCACAGGAAGTCGGCCATTTTGGATCAAGTACGCGATTTAGTGGTTTTCGCACACGTTGTTTGGAGAGTGATGCTCCGTCGCCCTTTTCACCAATCTCCTTCAAATTTCTGCTATCTACTCTTAAGTCATAGGGGAAAAAATTCAACCGTCGGATTTTTCAAAAGTTGAAAGGTGTGGGCGTGGCTAAGCCTCAAACTTTGACCTGTCGCCACGCCACTCTTTTTTTCACAGCTCCCTACTGGACTCCTTTTACCCAATCACCAGGATTCTGTGGCAAACAGCAGTAGACAAGTTGAGGTTACTTAGTCTCCAGTACTGGCAGGTTTCGAAGAAAGGCGGGGCTTTGGGAGCATGACGAAAATCGCCATCACGCCATGGAAATACGTTTGCCTCTCATTTCTTCAGTTATCGTGTTATCGCTACGAAACTTCTGGTGAGTGATCCTAGTCTGACCCCCAAGAGAAATAGACAGCTGAAGTTTGTGGGCGTGGCCTATTTTCTTCAATAGCGCCCCCTAGGTCCATTAAAACGGTCAGCCCCAAGCCTTGCTTTGACTGAGGATTACGAAATTTGGTACACTCATGTGGGGTCTCAGGACCTACAAAAAAGTCTCTTGGAGCCAAGCGCAAAGTCGCACAGGAAGTCGGCCATTTTGGTGCAAGTACGCGATTTAGTGGTTTTCGCACACATTGTTTGGAGAGTGATGCTCCGTCGCCCTTTTCACCAATCACCTTCAAACTTCTGCAATATACTCTTAAGACGTAGGGGAAAAAATTCAACCGTCGGATTTTTCAAAAGTTGAAAGGTGTGGGCGTGGCTAAGCCTCAAACTTTGAACTTTCGCCATTACTTTACTTGACTTAATAACTCCCATGTGCATGATCAGATCTTTTTCGAACTTTGTCTGTGTGATCATTGACCATATCTGTAAACAATGACAATGTGGACAGCTGACATCACCTAAGCCCCGGCCCCTGACTACAGGAAGTAATTTTTTATGCTGAAATGCTCATATTTGTCCCCTCTAATTTAGTCAACGTGACACCAAGGTCATGCACTGTCTTTATGATGCTGTAATGACCATTCAGATCTGATAGCTTTCCAGAAAGGGAGGGGCTTTGATGCCATGGCGAATTCTGGCGTAACACCGTAACCTTACAATTCAATTTAATGGTGAGCTCAGAGGGGATGCTGAGTCAGGGTGAGGTGCAGACTAGGAGGCCATTTGCGGTTTCTGGTGTCGGAGTGGTTTACGTTTCTGTTCTGCCAGACGTGCCCTGGTGCCCCGGGCTGCCGGCCAGGCCGGAGCGGCGCGGAGCTGCGAGGGCCGAACCACGCTGCTTGCAGCTTTAATGTTTTTTGTAATGCCGCTCCAATCCTGTGAACAAAAGCTTTTTATTAAATATGCGCTATTGCAGTTTTATAGAATGTTAAACAAAAGGAATTACCTTATGTGTATATAAGGTGTGTAGTCCTCATCACCGCTGTCATCAGTACCGCTGTCCATCTCGATGGTTTCGTCCTCCTCTGGAGACGAATCAACTTCTGGTTCTCTGTTTGGTGACCATGTGTCATCTGATGACTCTATCCTGAACATACACAATATAAAGTTTTTAGTATGGAAAATTAGACACATTTTATTAACATCTGAATACTTACACAGAGTTTTGAATATTGTTGAACTCTTCCTCATCAATGTTTGCTTCAATTCCCACACAAGATAACCTAAAAAAGTATTTATTGTTTACTTTTCCTGACAAATGTGACAGCCATATACAGATACAACCTTGTACTTACATTTGTGAAGATCCTTCTTTTTTAGTTTCACCTTGTTCCATCACCTCCTCCAAATTATCATCCCTATGAAAATAAAATACAAGCACAAGAATATGATTAGAATCAATACATATTTTGTCATTTTGAAGGTAATAGACCTCGTCTATTGGCCGTCATCATCACCCTCTCCTTATTTTTCTCACTCTACTTATTACGCATTTCTCTGTATCCACTGAATTCCTTCTTTACAAATAATTTCCTGTCTCTCTCTTTACATTTTTAAAAACACAATTGTGTTATTTTTTTCTCATAAACTTTGAAATAAAAATATAATTTTTAAAATATGTTTAATTTTGTTGTTGTTGTGACGACCCTTGAAAGGTTCGGGTTTGGGCCTGGATTTTGTAATTGGATCAAAACTGTATATGCAAGTCCAAGGGCAGCAGTTTTGACAAACGGAGTGGTATCAGAGTTTTTTCATCTCACTCGGGGGACCCGGCAGGGGTGTTCGTTATCCCCGCTGCTCTTCATAATATTTTTGGAACCACTGGCCTTGGCTATTCGGGCTAACAGGGATGTCAGAGGGGTGCATGCTGGGGGTATGGAGCACAAGTTATTTCTATATGCTGATGACATCTTAGCAGTATTAACGGATCCCATACAGTCTCTACCAGCGCTACTCACATGTGTTGAGCCATTTTCAAGGTTGTCAGGTTATAAGATAAATTGGTACAAATCGGAAGGCATGCCACTTTCAGCATCATGTCATTCTGGATGCATTACTCCATTCAATTTTAAGTATTTACCCTCAGGTATGAAGTATTTAGGAATAATATTAAAACCAAAACTAGAAGATATTATGCTTTCAAATATGGAACCTCTCCTCCTAAAGATAAAAACAAATTTGGATAAGTGGGGTAAATTGAATCTTACACTATGGGGAAAATTAATGTGATTAAAATGATGGTGGCCCCACAGTTCAATTATGTTTCCATGATGTTACCTGTGAGAATTCCTTTACATATATTTAGTGAATTTGAGAAGTTAATTAAAGATTTTTTGTGGAATAACAAAAAGCCAAGAGTGAATATAAAGAAAATGTGGGCCTCTAAAGACATTGGGGGAATGGCCCTGCCAAATGTGAAGTTGTATAATTTAGCTTTTGAAATGTCAAGACTGGCCAAGCACTGGACAGGTTTGGACCCTGAGCTGAGCTGGATGAAGATCGAACAGGAACTAGTGAGCCCTTTTACACCCTTGGATGTTCTCTCACAGGGCTCAGCAAGTAATGGACAAGACTTTTATGATAACCCAGTGCTCGGGTATTCAAAAGCTGTCTGGGTAGAGGTGCATAAGATGTGCAGAGCATCTCACTTAAGACAATCTTACACCTCACTATGGAACAACACTGCTGTACAGATTGGGCGAAAAACAGTGTTTTGGAAGGAATGGCTTGTCAAAGGTATACACAGGATAAGTATTCTTTACTCAGGGGGAGTGTTTATGTCATTCGCTGAAATAATCCAAAACTATGGTTTGATAAGAGAAAAGAATTTTTGGAAGTATTTACAAATAAGGGACTGTATTACCAAAGGAAAATTTAGTCAAAGCTCAAATATGATGGTGGAGTTTTTAGAATTGCCCAAACAACACATAGAGCAGCTGTTTTCTACAAACTGTTTAACAATCCTAAGAAAGAGATATGTGAAAACTTGAGGATTATATGGCAGAGGGATTTGAGTTGTGCAATTTCTAAAGAAAATTGGGGTAGAATTTTGTCATTCTCGGATAAATATATGAGAGGTCAGGGGTATATTAATTCAGTACAAATTAATACACAGGTGGTACTTCACTCCGCCCAAACTTTATAGAATGGGAATCAGTACCAGTAATAAATGTTGGAAATGTAGTTCAGATCCAGGGACATTTCTGCATGCTATTTGGGAATGTGGGAAAGTTTATCCCTTTTGGCAAAAAGTATTGAACAAAATAGGTAGGTGGATTGGTATGATAATACCCTTGTCACAAAGATTGTGTTTATTAGGGGATCGGTCGGTGTTGCCTGGGGTATCAAAATATGATTTTGTGGTTATAAAGGTGGGGGTGATTGCAGCGGCCCGAGTTATCCTCAGTGTATGGAAGCAACCATCTCCTCCAGAATATAATAGGTGGGAAGAAAATATGCTGAAAATGGTGGCATATGAAAAATTTCTGGCTATGATTAATGATGATAGGGAGGGTTTTGACAAATCATGGGGACGGGTTTTTGGCTAAGACAGTTGGAATTTATTTGGTTGGAGCGATCATCTTCAGTTTAATCTTATGCGTACTGCGCTGCATGTTAGTAGGTATTGAAAATAGACCAAAAATACAAAGGTGAATTTATCATGGAATTGGAAGCTGTCCTTTTTATTTTATTTTATTTTTTTCTGTTGTTGTTTTGTTTTTGACTGTTCTGTTTTCGTTTCTATGTTCTCATGTGGTTAAAAGTTAAAAGTAAATAAAGACTTCAATTACAAAAATTTTGTTGTTGTGAAGTGCCTCAAGAGTTTTATCTTGAGAGGCGCTATATAAAATGTAGTTTTACTATTTATTTCTATACATTTTTTATAGTCATTCATTATCCCATTTCTAGAATTTTTTCAAAATAATCCACCACTAACTTAAAACAGACAGAGGCAAAATTATAATATTCCTGGTAGAGGTTTTTACGCAGCTATTTACCTTTCAGATGATTCTCCATGAATGCTAGACAAAGCTGGCACTGGTGTTGGAGAA